TTTTATTTATATTTATTTTTTATAAACTTTTACATTATTTTATATTTATTTTTATTTATGAATTCATTTTTCTATTAAATATTTTTATTTTTTACATTACTTTTAGGGGCTTCGGGGGAAATATTGGGGGGTCTAAACAGACTAAAATAGAAAAAGAGATTGAGGACACAGAGTCCTCAGAGACACGCAGAACCCTCAATCTCTTTTTCTGTGTCCCCAGTTATCAATGAACAGGAAGCCTCTATACTGAGTGTTCCTGTTCATTCATAACATGAGGACATGGTATGTTTACTATAACTACAACTATGAATGAACAGGAAGTGATGTAGATGTGATGTAGATCACTTCCCATTCATTCATAATTGAGGATATAGTCCACATACCATGTCCTCAATATTATTATTATTATTATTACATAGTATTTATATAGCGCCAACAGTTAGCGCTTTACAATATAAGGAAGACATTACAGTTACAATACAATTCAAGACAAGATGGTAAGGAGGGCACTGCCCCTGAGGGCTTACAATCTAAAAGAGGAGGGGGAAATGATACATGAGGTAGCTGTGGAACACTCAGTCCCACTATCTAGTCACAGGGACTGTGCTGGCAACTGGCGGTAGTTCCGCCACTGACAGAGCCCACCACACATTCTGCAGATTCAGTGGGGGGGGGGGGGGGGGGGGGGCCCACGCGAGTTCCGGGGGGGGGGGGGGGTCGGGGCGGCCCTAGTCTCGTCTTGCCTAGGGCAGCCCCAAACCAGAATACACCACTGCTAACAAGGTCTTGATCATGTTACTCTCTGTAACAGGCCTTTTATAAGATGCTTTTGACGATATAAAATACATTGATTCCTTTAATTCTGTTGAGGAAATTCGGATTTCAATGTCTGTTGTGTAGGAAGATAACCACCGGCAAATGTTTTCTTACCGTGCCCCCTTTCCAAAAAACATCATCACTTTTAAAGTTAAGTGCTTTATCCACATCTTCCATAGCATTAAAGCTGGTGAGCAGTGTCCACTTATGTTCATAGCCTTCTGCTATCATCCAGTTCACTAAGTCAATCCGGGACGGAACTTCTGCCCTCTCGTTAAAGAAGATCTCCTGTCCAGTAGGGTCCGTGAAACGAACTTTTCTCACATAGTTGTGCAGGTTGACCTGGGAGGATATTAAAATGTATGTTACCATAAACATTTCTAAGAGTTCTGAAAGCCCAACCATGGGGCAGGTAAAAGATCAATAAAGGTATGAAAAATGGTCCTGTGACTGATGGCAATCCCCTCATCTCCCCCTTCACGTCCCCAGCTTTCCGCTCCCGGACCCCAGACTCTCCTCTTCTTCCATGTCCCCAGCTTTCCCTCATCTCCCACTTCATGTCCCCAGCTTTCCGCTCCCGGACCCCACAATCTCCTCTTCCATGTCCCCAGCTTTCCCCTCCCTGACCCCACCCTCTCCTCTTCCATGATGTCCCCAGCTTTCCCCTCCCTGACCCCACCCTCTCCTCTTCCATGATGTCCCCAGCTTTCCCCTCCCTGACCCCACCCTCTCCTCTTCCATGATGTCCCCAGCTTTCCCCTCCCTGACCCCACCCTCTCCTCTTCCATGATGTCCCCAGCTTTCCCCTCCCTGACCCCACCCTCTCCTCTTCCATGATGTCCCCAGCTTTCCCCTCCCTGACCCCACCCTCTCCTCTTCCATGATGTCCCCAGCTTTCCCCTCCCTGACCCCACCCTCTCCTCTTCCATGATGTCCCCAGCTTTCCCCTCCCTGACCCCACCCTCTCCTCTTCCATGATGTCCCCAGCTTTCCCCTCCCTGACCCCACCCTCTCCTCTTCCATGATGTCCCCAGCTTTCCCCTCCCTGACCCCACCCTCTCCTCTTCCATGATGTCCCCAGCTTTCCCCTCCCTGACCCCACCCTCTCCTCTTCCATGATGTCCCCAGCTTTCCCCTCCCTGACCCCACCCTCTCCTCTTCCATGATGTCCCCAGCTTTCCCCTCCCTGACCCCACCCTCTCCTCTTCCATGATGTCCCCAGCTTTCCCCTCCCTGACCCCACCCTCTCCTCTTCCATGATGTCCCCAGCTTTCCCCTCCCTGACCCCACCCTCTCCTCTTCCATGATGTCCCCAGCTTTCCCCTCCCTGACCCCACCCTCTCCTCTTCCATGATGTCCCCAGCTTTCCCCTCCCTGACCCCACCCTCTCCTCTTCCATGATGTCCCCAGCTTTCCCCTCCCTGACCCCACCCTCTCCTCTTCCATGATGTCCCCAGCTTTCCCCTCCCTGACCCCACCCTCTCCTCTTCCATGATGTCCCCAGCTTTCCCCTCCCTGACCCCACCCTCTCCTCTTCCATGATGTCCCCAGCTTTCCCCTCCCTGACCCCACCCTCTCCTCTTCCATGATGTCCCCAGCTTTCCCCTCCCTGACCCCACCCTCTCCTCTTCCATGATGTCCCCAGCTTTCCCCTCCCTGACCCCACCCTCTCCTCTTCCATGATGTCCCCAGCTTTCCCCTCCCTGACCCCACCCTCTCCTCTTCCATGATGTCCCCAGCTTTCCCCTCCCTGACCCCACCCTCTCCTCTTCCATGATGTCCCCAGCTTTCCCCTCCCTGACCCCACCCTCTCCTCTTCCATGATGTCCCCAGCTTTCCCCTCCCTGACCCCACCCTCTCCTCTTCCATGATGTCCCCAGCTTTCCCCTCCCTGACCCCACCCTCTCCTCTTCCATGATGTCCCCAGCTTTCCCCTCCCTGACCCCACCCTCTCCTCTTCCATGATGTCCCCAGCTTTCCCCTCCCTGACCCCACCCTCTCCTCTTCCATGATGTCCCCAGCTTTCCCCTCCCTGACCCCACCCTCTCCTCTTCCATGATGTCCCCAGCTTTCCCCTCCCTGACCCCACCCTCTCCTCTTCCATGATGTCCCCAGCTTTCCCCTCCCTGACCCCACCCTCTCCTCTTCCATGATGTCCCCAGCTTTCCCCTCCCTGACCCCACCCTCTCCTCTTCCATGATGTCCCCAGCTTTCCCCTCCCTGACCCCACCCTCTCCTCTTCCATGATGTCCCCAGCTTTCCCCTCCCTGACCCCACCCTCTCCTCTTCCATGATGTCCCCAGCTTTCCCCTCCCTGACCCCACCCTCTCCTCTTCCATGATGTCCCCAGCTTTCCCCTCCCTGACCCCACCCTCTCCTCTTCCATGATGTCCCCAGCTTTCCCCTCCCTGACCCCACCCTCTCCTCTTCCATGATGTCCCCAGCTTTCCCCTCCCTGACCCCACCCTCTCCTCTTCCATGATGTCCCCAGCTTTCCCCTCCCTGACCCCACCCTCTCCTCTTCCATGATGTCCCCAGCTTTCCCCTCCCTGACCCCACCCTCTCCTCTTCCATGATGTCCCCAGCTTTCCCCTCCCTGACCCCACCCTCTCCTCTTCCATGATGTCCCCAGCTTCCCCTCATCTCCCCCTTCACGTCCCCAGCTGTCCGCTCCCGGACCCCAGACTCTCCTCTTCTTCCATGTCCCCAGCTTCCCCTCATCTCCCCCTTCATGTCTTCAGCTTTCCGCTCCCGGACCCCACACTCTCCTCTTCTTCCATGTCCCCTTCATGTCCCCAGCTTTCCGCTCCCGCACCCCACACTCTCCTCTTCCATGTTCCCAGCTTCCACTCATCTCCACCTTCATGTCCCCAGCTTTCCGTTCCCGGACCTCACACTCTCCTCTTTCATGTCCCCAGCTTCCCCTCATCTCCCCCTTCATGTCTTCAGCTTTCCGCTCCCGGACCCCACCCTCTCCTCTTCTTCCATGTCCCCTTCATGTCCCCAGCTTTCCGCTCCCGCACCCCACACTCTCCTCTTCCATGTTCCCAGCTTCCCCTCATCTCCCCCTTCATGTCTTCAGCTTTCCGCTCCCGGACCCCACCCTCTCCTCTTCTTCCATGTCCCCTTCATGTCCCCAGCTTTCCGCTCCCGCACCCCACACTCTCCTCTTCCATGTTCCCAGCTTCCCCTCATCTCCCCCTTCATGTCTTCAGCTTTCCGCTCCCGGACCCCACCCTCTCCTCTTCTTCCATGTCCCCTTCATGTCCCCAGCTTTCCGCTCCCGCACCCCACACTCTCCTCTTCCATGTTCCCAGCTTCCCCTCATCTCCCCCTTCATGTCTTCAGCTTTCCGCTCCCGGACCCCACCCTCTCCTCTTCTTCCATGTCCCCTTCATGTCCCCAGCTTTCCGCTCCCGCACCCCACACTCTCCTCTTCCATGTTCCCAGCTTCCCCTCATCTCCCCCTTCATGTCTTCAGCTTTCCGCTCCCGGACCCCACCCTCTCCTCTTCTTCCATGTCCCCTTCATGTCCCCAGCTTTCCGCTCCCGCACCCCACACTCTCCTCTTCCATGTTCCCAGCTTCCCCTCATCTCCCCCTTCATGTCTTCAGCTTTCCGCTCCCGGACCCCACCCTCTCCTCTTCTTCCATGTCCCCTTCATGTCCCCAGCTTTCCGCTCCCGCACCCCACACTCTCCTCTTCCATGTTCCCAGCTTCCCCTCATCTCCCCCTTCATGTCTTCAGCTTTCCGCTCCCGGACCCCACCCTCTCCTCTTCTTCCATGTCCCCTTCATGTCCCCAGCTTTCCGCTCCCGCACCCCACACTCTCCTCTTCCATGTTCCCAGCTTCCCCTCATCTCCCCCTTCATGTCTTCAGCTTTCCGCTCCCGGACCCCACCCTCTCCTCTTCTTCCATGTCCCCTTCATGTCCCCAGCTTTCCGCTCCCGCACCCCACACTCTCCTCTTCCATGTTCCCAGCTTCCCCTCATCTCCCCCTTCATGTCTTCAGCTTTCCGCTCCCGGACCCCACCCTCTCCTCTTCTTCCATGTCCCCTTCATGTCCCCAGCTTTCCGCTCCCGCACCCCACACTCTCCTCTTCCATGTTCCCAGCTTCCCCTCATCTCCCCCTTCATGTCTTCAGCTTTCCGCTCCCGGACCCCACCCTCTCCTCTTCTTCCATGTCCCCTTCATGTCCCCAGCTTTCCGCTCCCGCACCCCACACTCTCCTCTTCCATGTTCCCAGCTTCCCCTCATCTCCCCCTTCATGTCTTCAGCTTTCCGCTCCCGGACCCCACCCTCTCCTCTTCTTCCATGTCCCCTTCATGTCCCCAGCTTTCCGCTCCCGCACCCCACACTCTCCTCTTCCATGTTCCCAGCTTCCCCTCATCTCCCCCTTCATGTCTTCAGCTTTCCGCTCCCGGACCCCACCCTCTCCTCTTCTTCCATGTCCCCTTCATGTCCCCAGCTTTCCGCTCCCGCACCCCACACTCTCCTCTTCCATGTTCCCAGCTTCCCCTCATCTCCCCCTTCATGTCTTCAGCTTTCCGCTCCCGGACCCCACCCTCTCCTCTTCTTCCATGTCCCCTTCATGTCCCCAGCTTTCCGCTCCCGCACCCCACACTCTCCTCTTCCATGTTCCCAGCTTCCCCTCATCTCCCCCTTCATGTCTTCAGCTTTCCGCTCCCGGACCCCACCCTCTCCTCTTCTTCCATGTCCCCTTCATGTCCCCAGCTTTCCGCTCCCGCACCCCACACTCTCCTCTTCCATGTTCCCAGCTTCCCCTCATCTCCCCCTTCATGTCTTCAGCTTTCCGCTCCCGGACCCCACCCTCTCCTCTTCTTCCATGTCCCCTTCATGTCCCCAGCTTTCCGCTCCCGCACCCCACACTCTCCTCTTCCATGTTCCCAGCTTCCCCTCATCTCCCCCTTCATGTCTTCAGCTTTCCGCTCCCGGACCCCACCCTCTCCTCTTCTTCCATGTCCCCTTCATGTCCCCAGCTTTCCGCTCCCGCACCCCACACTCTCCTCTTCCATGTTCCCAGCTTCCCCTCATCTCCCCCTTCATGTCTTCAGCTTTCCGCTCCCGGACCCCCCCCTCTCCTCTTCCATGTCCCCAGCTTCCCCTCATCTCCCATTTCATGTCCCCAGCTTTCCGTTCCCGGACCCCGCACTCTCCTCTTCCATGTCCCCAGCTTCCCCTCATCTCCCCCTTCATGTCCCCAGCTTTCCGTTCACGGACCCCACACTTTCCTCTTCCATGTCCCCAGCTTCCCCTCATCTCCCCCTTCACGTCCCCAGCTTTCCGTTCCCGGACCCCACACTTTCCTCTTCCATGTCCCCCGCTTCCCCTCATCTCCCCCTTCACGTCCCCAGCTTTCCGTTCCCGGACCCCACACTTTCCTCTTCCATGTCCCCCGCTTCCCCTCATCTCCCCCTTCACGTCCCCAGCTTTCCGTTCCCGGACCCCACACTTTCCTCTTCCATGTCCCCCGCTTCCCCTCATCTCCCCCTTCACGTCCCCAGCTTTCCGTTCCCGGACCCCACACTTTCCTCTTCCATGTCCCCCGCTTCCCCTCATCTCCCCCTTCACGTCCCCAGCTTTCCGTTCCCGGACCCCACACTCTCCTCTTCTTCCATGTCCCCTTCATAGTCCTTGCTCCCTATATCTCCCCCTTCGTGTCCGCAGCAGGCCTCTCTTACCGATGCAGCTCTCTATTCGGCAGCGTTCTGTGTGATGAGGGGGCGGGGATAACCCGCTTCCCACTCATTGGCTGCTGCGCCGGCTGGATCATACTTCACGCTGCGCCTGGAACAAGGTGAGGGGCACAGCGTGAAGTGCGTAGGGCCCAGGACAGGTGGAAGAGCTCCCGGTACTGACATTAGCGGTTACCGGCATATTAAATATCCTGGTAATCTGCGGTTACCAGGGGCCCCTTCCTCCTGTCCTGGGCCCCCTCTAAGTGACGCAACTCCAGGAGCCCGGTCACAGCTGCGACCTCGGCAACCCTGGTAGTTCCGCCACTGCCTCTATGAACGCACGGACTGCGCGACATGGATTTAAATGGGCACAGTGGCCCTTTATTAAACATACCAAAATTAGAACAGTTACCAAACATAATAACATACAAAGAAATAATCTGAATGACTGTTGGATCGGAGAAGGGGGCTTTGGGTGCCCATCAGCCAAAATAAGGAGGGAGGGAGGAAGTACCATACCAACTGATGGCCCCCACTTTGTAACCGACTCACATTTCTGTACCCCCAAAGACCCCTTAACCCGCCAAGCTGCCGTGACATAAACAACCATTCCAACTGGCAAAAATGAGCGGAGGGCGGGCGGGACAACTTGCTTCCTCCATCGATTTTCTGGAAAGAACGCCCATCAGCACTTGCGGTCCCATCCCATGCGGCTCCTCCTCGACACCTGACTTCCACCTCCAATCAGGTAAGATCAACTGATTCCCATTTTAATTTTAACCCCTTTTCCAGGGGACTATTCCTTCCCCCGGTCATGCAGCTCCTCCGCTCAGTCTCTCTGGGTCTGTCTAGAGTTGTAAACAGTCCAGCAAAGGGCAACAAAATGAATTGTGGGGCTAAATGGCCTCAGCTACGAAGAACAATTAGTGAATAAATTATAATATTTGTAAATGAGCTTACTTAGTGATAAAATACGCATGCACCACATAGGTTGGACTGGATAGATCTACTGTATGTCTTTTCCACCCTTACCTACTATGTACTGTAACTATGTAGTATAAAGCAGCGGTTCTCCATCTGTGTAACCTCAGGACCCCCGTTTGTCCTCGGTCATTAAGTCGCGACCCAAGTCGCAATGCAATGGAACACACGGCATTAAGGTACCGCGCGCTCCAGTGCGGGCGTACGAACTGTGGGTGGGAGGTGTGTTTAGGGTACCATTCAGGTGAATGGCAACGCAACACACCTCCTGCACCAGAATGCACGGTAGCTATGCGATTAACGCACTGTACTAGTGTGAACGGGCCCTCAAAAACACTGGCATACATACACAGTCACAGACACAATCTCAATATTTTAAGGTCCACCCAGTCTCTCTATCTTACAAGAACTGGAGTAAATCTCAGCCTGGGGTCCAGTGTTGGCTGGGGTGCTGTGACAGAGCCCCATCCATATGTTCATTGCTTGCCCAGCTCCCATGCGCTCCCACGCTCTGGCTCCCATGCCCTGTAGTGGTGGTGGGAGCTAGAATGTGATGTCACTCCGGTCCAGGCACCTCTACAGGGCACATGAGGGAGCTGTATGCAATGAACGTATAGATGGAGCCCCCTCGCGGCCATACCCACAGCGCACCACACCGCACTTCAAGCTGACACTCGGCACCGGGCAGCATATTTTGAATGGCTGCTTGGCACGGGAACTGACAGTGCTACACTAGGGGGAGGCTGAGGAACCTCTCATCTAGAAAAGTGGAAGGCATGTGGTGACCCACCGAACACGGGGTCGCGACCCACTTTTGGGTCACCACCCACCAGTTGAGAACCAAGGGTATAAAGCATGGCGGAACAAGCGAAAGGCTTTGTAAATCAGTTGGAAGGCTAACATGTTAGCCTGAATTCGTGGGAGGAGTCTGCGCCTCCACTGCACTCTCAAGCCGGGTAGACGGGAGTGCCCGGGATGGGAGAATTTTGGCATAGCCCTTCCAGTGGCGTAACAATCACCATAGCGACCCAGGCGGCCGCTATGGGGCCCGGGGCACAGTGGGGCCCGGCTAGATGCCGCGCGGGCCGCCTGGGTCGCTATGCGATCCTCTGCTGGTGGCTTTCACTGGCGGCTGAAGACGAACGTGCCGCTGTTCAGATCACTGACAGTAAACTGTGCAGCAGCGCGTTCCTCTCCACAGAGTCAATGAGAGCCAGCAGCGGCAGTAGAGGAGGAGGCGGGGCCCGTGGTCGGCAGCAGGGGAGGAGGCGGGGCCCGGTGACGAAGAAGGAGGCGTTCCCGCTGACGGAGGAGGAGGCTGGGCCCATCAGCCACCGTGGACGAAGAGGAGGCGGACAGGTAAGGAGTGCGACCAGCCCACCTGAGGGTGACCCGGCAGAGCCCACCATAGAGAGTCTACGGTGGGCTCTGCAGGTTCACCCTCAGGTGGGATCTCGAGTGGGCTCTGCAAGCGGTGCAACTAGAAATCACGGGGGGGCCCATACAAAATTTTGCTATGGGGCCCTGTGATTTCTAGTTACGCCCCCTGCGCCCTCCGCATTGGTTTCTCCAGCTAGACACTCAGAGTATGCCCCCTTATTGGCGTTACTGTCCACCCCGGACCACGGCACACCTCAGGTCAGTGCGTTATCCACAATCCCTTTTCATTCGAGTAAGCGGACTCCGAGCACAAATAATAAATATACACATATCATTCTTTATCTTACTGCTTGCTTCGATCCACGTTGTTCAGATGTCCTTCTCATTAAGGTAATTTTGTGTAGGGCGGTAGCCAGGACATGCACAGCCCTGTATGCGTAAGCAGGCAGTGCGTTGCTTAAGGCATGAAATGTGGGCCAAGCAGGTTTCACGTACGTGCAGTTCATTAAAGATAAGCCAAAAATCAATTGAAAATAGTCGTTTTTGGCCGAGTTCGGGGAAAAGCAACGCAGTGAAAAAATCCAGAGATCTTCTAATATGGGGTCGGTTAAGCAGGCGGCGCAGCTGATACCATTTCTATGAATATCGAGGTTTTGGATTATTTTGTCTGGCCATACAAACAATAAGCTGCCGTTGATTGCTGATAAATCAGGGTATCTGTAATATTTTATAATGGAAAAAGTATCAGGGAGAATTAATGTGAGATCATCCCTGAGAACACGGATCTCATCGAGAAAAAAAAGAAAATGTAACGAGAAGATGCCGCACACCAGGACAACTTTGGCTGTTGACTTGCCTATAACTGCCAGCTTCCGCCGATTGCTATCGTCGTTATCAGTAAATTTAATGACGTACTCCATGCAGATCCCGCGTTTGCTCATCGTCCGACTCAGTTCTTGTAATTCAGCGTCCCCGCTTCCGTCGGTCGCTATCAGGATTCCGACCCAGTTCCACCCGAAATGTAGAAAAACCTTTATAATAGCGGCATAGCGCACCCGGTCGTCTTGTGTCATCCGGTATAAGGTCGGATACATTTTATGGTCACTCAAGCGAATGTCGGTGACTCGGTAATTAATCTGTAAAAAAAAATTAATATATATTGTTTTGTTACCTAGTTACAAAGTATTTGAGGATGAATAAAGACACAAGTCCATCAAGTTCAACCTATTGCGTGTGTGCATTTATGTTTGAGCAGGTGTGTGCTTGTATATGAGTCCATGTGTGATTTTGCTCTTAGGCGTACCTGTACCGCTGTATGTTATGGTCTCCAATCAGTGCCGTCACAAGGGGGGTGCGGCCCGCACCCAGGTGACACCATTGGAGGGGTGACACCAAAATAACTCTCAGTCATTTTTGGTGTCACCCCCCTCTGAAAAGTCGGGCGCTCGGTCATGGACAGAGGAGGGGACCCGGCGGCATACCTTATCCCGCCGGGTGACTGTCCCCTCCTCTCTCTGCCGGCGTCCATCACCAAGATGGCCGCCGGCAGGTATCGAGAATACTGCCGCGCGTGCGCGATGACGTCATCACGTACGCACATGGTAAAGTCACGAGCATGCGCACTGACGTCTCGGGGGGGGTGACACTCGGTTACCGCTCCGGGTGTCACCCAGCCTCGGGACGCCCCTGTCTACAATAGACATGTGCACCAGCAAAAAAATAATTTGGTTTCGTTTCGTTTTGATTCGGATTTTGCTTTAACTCATTTTTCGGAATTCGGGTCCGAAAGTCAATTCGTTTCGGAATTCGGATTCGGACGAAATTGTACGAAATTTCGTTTTCGTTCGTTGCAGCAAAGTGACATTTAAGAGGGGAAAAAAAGTTTTTTTGTTCTCAAATGTCACTTTGCTGCAACGAAAGTTCGTCCAAAAAAATGAATCGGAAATTCGGATTCGTTTACATTCGTTATACCTGTAATTCGGAATCCGGATACATCCGAATCTCCGAAATTTCGTCCGAATTTTCGATCCGGAACGAAACGAATCGCACATGTCTAGTCTCCAGCTGAGACTTAGCTGAGATCACTTCCTGCGGCAGCAAGTTCCAGACCCTAACCGCTCGAACTGTGAAGAACCCCTTGCGCCCTGTGTGTTGAAATTTTTTTTCTACCAACTTGTGGTGGTGCCTGCTGGTCTTTGTTACGGAGCTGACTGTAAACAGTTTGTTAATAATGTTGCTGTCACCCTTGAATAGTTTATACAAAAAAATCATGCCCCCCCTTAATCTCCTAACCTCCAAGGAGAGCATATTTAATTTTAACAGCCTTGTTTCATAGTTCAGGTCTTCGAACCCCTTAATGAGTTTTGTTGCCCTCCTCTGGACTCTCTCCAGCTCAAGGACATCCTTTCTGAGTATTGGAGTATTGAAATGTGTGACCACGTCACCAGTCACAAATTGTAACATTGTCACAAACTTTGATAGAACACTACCATCAGGTGGTACGGCCGGTACCCATGTGAGGGGTCTGGGCAGCCTGGGGGGCCTCTTTCATGAGTATCAGCTGTACCAGGGACGGCATGGCAGAGGTGACAGGGGAGGGGGTGGAGGAGGCCAGGCCCCAGCAGCAGCAGGTAAGAGCAGTTAGGAGGTACAGGGAAAGGGACCCCGGCGACCAGTCCACCTGAGGTCCTGCAGAGCCCACCATAGAGAGTCTCGGATGGGCTGTGCTGGATCTATGGTGTGCCCTGCAAGGTCACTCTTAGTTGGGCTCTGCGGGGTCTCAGGTAAGTTCAGAGTCCAGTGTGTTACTAAGTCAGTAGTCCAGTGCGTTACTAAGCCCAGAGTTCAGCGCGTTACTAAGCCCAGAGTCCATGTCGGCCGAAAGTGCCAGTTTCCTGCCGATACATCCGTGCATCCCTGATTTCTTTCCTCCACGCTGGGCGCTGCTCTGTGTCCCAGTGGGGAGGAGAGAAACTGTGATAGCCGGCCGATTGCTGCGGCACGAGAGCGCAGTGATCGGCCTGCGTCTCCTCCCACACCGCTCGGCCGCTTATCAAAGTCCGGCAGAGCGGTGTGGGGGCGGAGACAGCTCTGTAACAGGAGGCTGGGCTATCCTCCCTACACCACTCCATCAGCCCCCTGTGTCAGCGTGTCAGAGAGAAGAGCAAGTACACACAATCAGGGTTCAGTGATCGCTGAGTGTTTATAGATAATGGAGGATATGGTATGTTGACTATATCCTCAATTATGAATGAATGGGAAGTGAGCTACATCACTTCCTGTCCATTCATAGTTGTGGTTATAGTAAACAAACAATGTTCTCATGTTATCAATGAACAGGAACACTCAGTATAGAGGATTCCTGTTCATTGAAACGGGACACAGAAAAAGAGATTGAGGACTCTGTGTCCTCAATCTCTTTTTCTATTTTAAAAGGGAAATATCAGGGATCTGTTTAGACCCCCAATATTTCCCCAAAGCTCCTAAAAGTAAAGTAAAAAAATAAAAATATTTAATGAAAAAAATGAATAAATAAAAATATTTCAAAAATTAAAACGTTTATAAAAAAACAAATAAAAATAAAATATTTTAAAAATGTGAAAAAATTAAAATAAAATAAAAATTTCGGCCTGACAATTTTTTTTTATTCCGGTTTCATTTCGGTTTTTATCATTTACATTTCGGTGCGCCTCTAATTGCTATAGTTTAGTCCATCTATTGCTATGGGTTACTGCAGTCCATCCGTTGCTATGGGTTACTGCAGCTTCCACATTGCTTTCATAAAGCTCCCAATCAGAGGCCTCAGGGTCAAATTTGGGTTTTTTTCCGGGACTTTGGATTTACTGGTGTCAATTTTGGAAAGTGATCACAATTTTTAGCCTTTGTGGCAGAACCGGGAACAGTGTCTGGCAGCATCTCCCTTTCCCTCACTAACACCAGTGGACCCCCCTTAACTTTCCCTGCTACCCCGCTATTATATTTGGAATTTTTCATCTTTGCTGCTAAGTTTACCAGCCGGGCTCAGTGAATGGATTAAATGATCCATGGTACATAATAGTACGCCTTCACTCACTGCTCGATGATGGCTGGTGCCTTACAATGTGCCTTGCTGGTGAGGTCGTAGTCGGCACCGTGCGGGAGAGCACCGCCGGCCAGCTAAATTAGGATCCCACCTGGAGCTCCTCCCACCGGACCGGCATTGACTCGCCGCTGCTCTCCTGCACAGCAGACTGAAGGTAAAGGAAAAAAAAATAGTGCAAGCATCGGCGCTATGTATCGGGGCATTTTGACAACTACAAGTACTTGTCCAAATGCCCTGTATCGGTCCCGATACCGATGCTATCAGTATCGTGACATCCCTAATGTGTACCAATGTTTGTTTTTGTAGGCCGTGGTGAATTATAGTTAGAGCCAAGAGAAACGCAGTAGGTGTCATGCCGGACAAAGTTGATTGCTGACCCGTGATTAGGTTCCTCCATCTTCAAGAGGAAATCTGCCCAAATAATCAAGCTGCAGAAACTGTCACTTTTGTTCGCGTTTGTGGCTATGAATCTCTGCCCAATCCACCGTACTCACCTGACCCGGCACCTACGGACTTCTTCTAGACTTGTGCGCCGTCAAAAAATTAGTTCTGTTTCGTTTCGGAATATCCGTTATTTCGTATTTCGTAATTCGTAACTGAACTCAATTCGGATTCGAATTTTCGTTAGTGGCGGTTATATTTTCGTAACTGTACGAACATTCGTTATGATGAAGTTAAAAAGCAAAATACCTTTGTTAATATTGGAGTCGATGTTGTAGTTGTTTTTTTTATCCGAAATACGAATTCCGTTAACGGATTCCGGATCCGAATTTCGTATTTCGGATTAAAAAAACAACTACCATCAACTCCAATATATTAACAAAGGTATTTTGCTTTTTAACTTCAATATAACGAATGTTCGTAACGGAACGAAAATACGTCAACGGAATTTCGTATTTCCTGCCTGTATTGTAATGCAACTCTCAGCAGCAGAAGAGAAAACCTGTGATTGGTCAACCAAAACGAAATACGAATTCCGTTAACGGATTCCGTATCCGAATTTCGTATTTCGGACTTTAAAAAAAAATACCATCAACTCCAATATAAATGTACTTTGCTTTTTACCTTCAATATAACGAATGTTTGTAACGGAATGAAAATACATCAACGGAATTTCGTATTTCCTGCCTGTGTATTGTAATGCATCAGCAGCAGCGGATCCGTATCTCGGATTAAAAAAAAAATCTTGTCATGTTGTTCAACCTCATTTACAGGGGTAATATTAGTTCCTGTTTCAAAGAAATTCGGATCCGAAATTCGTTAACGGAATTTCGTATTTCGGATATAATTCGGAAACTGCCATTCGGATTTCAGATGCTCCGAAATTCGGAATTTCAGGAAAATTCGTACGAATTTCGATTCGTAACGAAACGAATCGCACATGTCTAACTTCTTCCCGTTTCCAAATCTGAAGAAACATTTACAGGGGAAGACGTTTCCACAATGATGAGGCAGTCATTGCTGAAGCTGATAGCCGGCTTTCCTCCAAATCTGCAGACTTCTACGCAGATGGTCTTGAAGGTCTGTTCCACGGATGTGAATAGTGTATAACCATAGGAGGTGGATAGGTAGGGAAGGAAGAGTCAGCGGACTCAATTTCAGATCCCTAGCACATCAGGATCTTGGTAAGGGTCAGAACTTATTGGCCTGGCTCGTATTTAACTAGTGAGGCGAGCGGGATCGAGCTGTCCATACCTGGTTGGAGTGAGCATTTAAATAGCTTTCTGTGCTCACACTATCTTCAAGAATTTGTGACCAACGTCAAAACGGTATGCTTAAATTCTGACAAGGTCAGAGGGTCCCAAGTCTACAGTCCCTTAAGCTCATAGCTGATAAAGAAGAGTCATTAATATATGCTCAACCAATGCTTAATAGAAAACATTAGGTGCTTATATGCAAATGTTAGGATTCTTTATGTAACAGGTTCTCTTGTTAGAATGTCTTTGCAGGTTACTTTATGTGTATCGGAAAAAGTAGAAAACATGTCAATTT